GTTCGATAATGGTTTAGTATTTTTTTACTATTGGGTTATCGGTATCGGGTTATTGGGTTAACGGTTCGATAATGGTTTAGTATTTTTTTACTATTGGGTTATCGGTATCGGGTTATTGGGTTAACGGTTCGATAATGGTTTAGTATTTTTTTACTATTGGGTTATCGGTTCGGGCCTCGGTTCGCCAATTTTATTAATGGGTTAACCGATAACCCAATATTAATAAAATTACGACTTTATCCTTAAGTATATACAAATGCTATGGCTTCAGTTCATTCTCTCCTATTCTTTCTTAACCCCACTCTTCAGTTGCTTCATCTTCATTCTTCATAGACCTTACTAGTTACTCCTAGCATAAGTCTTTAGTATGCTTTATGTGAATTCTTCTCTTTTTTGCTTAACTCCGGTGAATTATCTTTTTTTTTTTTTGCTTAACTCTAGATTGAGTTATCTTATCGGGTAAACCGATAACCGAACCGATAATGATCGATAACCAATTAACCAATACCTTATAACCGATATCTTATCGGTCCGGTTATCGGTTTATCAAATTTGTAAACCAATAACCGATAGGCTAAACTGATAATATTCATAACCGAACCGAACCGACCGATGCACACCTCTATGAGCCGATGCTCTAGGTAGCAAACAATGGGCATGAACAATGGGCAGAGGTGAGAAAGTTTGGGTAGGGCCAGGACGTGATGTCCACGTGAGGGAGTTGTTAATGTAAGTCAATAATGTTGTATGGGAAAATGTGAAGTGACGCAAAAGCAAATGGCAATTTTGTCAACACGTTCAAACTTAGGCGTAATACATACGGAGAGACCTAAAGTTGGCACGATCTTTCACTTAGACACTTAAACTAGACTTCTTTCCAATTAGACACGTTTCTTAGGCAATTCTCATACCAATTAGACACGTTTTTTACTGGTGGCATATAGCGTGACTTCAAACCTATTTAGGCGCGTGAAGGATTCCAAAAAGTGACTTTTCCTTTCCCAATTAGACACATAACGGTAACATGGATTGTCAATTATTATTTAAACCCTAATCCCTTTCCCAATTCTTAAAAAATCTATTTGTTCTCTTCTCTTCTTCTCAGATTTCTCCAGCAATTTTCCTTCTATACTTGTCAAATCTTTTCTTCTCTTCTCTTTTTTCTCTCGTTTCTGTTCTCTTCTTGGTATCAATTAATTTCTTCTCTTCTCTTCTTCCTCTCATTTCTGTTGTTGCCGTGTTTATTAATGTCGAACTTCTCGGAATCGATGAACTCGTCAATGTCACCTTGCGTTGTTGCTCGAATCTGTAAGTGTGGTGTTTCTCCAAAGTTGAATACTTCTTGGACCCAATTAAACCCAGGTCGTAGCTTTTTTGCTTGCAAAATCGGAAAGGTAAATTGTTTGTTCATAATTTGTAAATTCTGTTTTATGAATTATTTTCTTTGATAAAAATTGATTAATAGTGTTTTGTGATATTTGTAGAAAAAGGGTGGATGTGATTATTTCTGTTGGTATGACGTGATGAGATGCCTACTCAAGCGAAGAATATAATTTGGGGTTTATTAAAGAGAGTCAAAGCTTTTGAAGAGGAGAAAGTTCGAGCAAAAAGAAGACGGATCCTTTTGACGATTGTTGTTGTATTGTTGGTCGTTTTATGAAAACTGTATGACTGATGAATTTTGGTTGACTGATGAGCAAAAAGAAGACGGATTTCTGTTGTTGCTTTAAATTTCTGTTTTGAAACTGTTGTTGTAATATTCAGATGTTGTATAAATACAACTGAATTTTGTTATAAACTTCTGTTTATATTTAGATGTTGAAACCGTTGTTTTAATTTACAGTTGTTGAATTTTGAAAGTGCTGTAATATACAACTTCTGTACAAGGCATAGAACCATAGAGATGCAGTTTCAAAATGCAGAACATATAGACTGAAGTTGCTGCATTATAGAGTGATTATTCAGAACATAGAGTAACTATTCTGCCAAAACAAACAAAAAAAGGCTGAAGTTGCAGCTGCATAACATATATCCAAAACAGAACAGTAAGATTACACGACTGAATACAACTTAAAGTTTAGTTCCTTCAAAAACTAGATCCCAAAATATAATAGGTTGCTGCTACATAACATATAGACAAAATAAGTTCCTAAGATACTACTTCTTGATGAAGTTTGCCTTCATCTGCTGCAACTGGGAAGTTGTGACAGCATCTTGACCCTTCCACCTCAAGCCTCTAGCCTTAAAACCTAGGTCAATTCCTGTTGGAGCTGCACTCGTATAAGTTGAACCACTTACCATAACTCGTTGGCTTGATGTTCCAGGCTGCAGTTTGCCAAATAATGAACCACAATCAGTAAGTTATTTATAAGTCATATTATAGATGAAATATGTATGATTATATACATTTAATATTTTAGTTCCACTTGCAGCTGTGTAGATGCCAAATCCAACATTTTTGGACCTTTTTGTGCTCCTTTTTCAGCATCTTCTTTACTTGCACCCCTTCCTCTCTTTTGGCTGGTAGTTGCTTTACCCTTTGGAGGAAGTTGACTACCTAATCCTCTTCTAGCAGGCCTGCTCGAATCTGTTGAACTTGTGTTGGTTGGTTTGAGCTTCTAGCTTCATTAACCCTTCTAACCCTTGTTGTATCAAAGCACATAGAGTTTGTAGGTTGGCTTGAGCTTCCAGCTGCATCAGGTTGGCTAGCACCTTGTGAGCTTTGGATACCTTGTTGTGAAGGCATCCAATTTTCAGCCTACATAACATTGAGAACACATAGTTTAGCCCTATAACAAATTGTCTTGCCAACATACAATCCTAGCTTGTCCCTACACAACTCCTGTATTTCCCATATCCTTATGTGGGGCTGCTTAGTTATTTCATCTTTGAATTTCTTTGCAACAAACTTTGAAGTGCACAACTTATTCTTGTTTGAAGTATCACATTTGTGTATTGGGTAGTAGTTCTTTACTTTAAAATCACCTGGATCTCTATCAATACAAGCATAACATACCCATTTGCATCTCTTTGATTTACACTTAGCCCTCACCCTATGTGGTTCATTTGGTCTCAATTTAATCTGCATCTTGTACTCAATTGCATAATTTGCTAATGCTTTCCGAAACTCTATAGCATTCTCAAAAATCATCCCAAGTTCAAATATAGCAACTTCACAATCAGGATCATACCTGACTTTTGTACTCCTCCTTCTTGCTGGTATATCAACACCAGGAATAACTTCAGGATCTAACTCTTCTGTGCTATCTTCACTATCAGCCTCTGAATTATCAATAAACTGCTCATCACCACCTAATTTACCTACATATCTTGAAGTCTTGTTTCTTCTAATATCCTCAAATCCTCTGTCAATACCTGCTTCTCCTAGTGGTATCTCATCTGTTGCAATTGGTTTTTTCCTCTACTTACCCTGCCTCTTACTCCTCCTTTCAGCCTTAGAGATCTCAATTCATCATCAACATCTGAATCATCTTCTTCAGGAAGAACATCTTCTTCTGATTCACTACTCTCAACATCTGATTGCACTCCATCTTCATTAACATTATGGTCTGGTGGTTCATCTCCATCAGCATCATTTACAGTTGGTTCAGAAGAATTGTGAGTTGGTTCAGCATCATTCAAAGTTGGTTCAATAGGAGGTTTAATAGATGGTTCAGCAGCATTGTGAGTTGGTTCAGTAGGTGGCTCAATAGGTTCTTCAGTATTTGTATTACTCCCAAGTGTTGCCCTAGCTTTAAATTGGTCATTACCACCCCCACCTACTTCTGATCCACATAAAAGACCAATATTTTCTTCGACTACTTCAGGCTGACTCACCCCATGACGCAAATAAACATCCAAAATATCACCATGTTTTAAATCTTTCACAAATTCATATAACTGAAAATCATAAAAGATTTTGATAAAATCACCATCTTTTTCCTTTTGACAATAAAACCCTTCGACAACTGCATACCCAAGGTCTTTAGCATAAGCAGACAACTCGACAACACTAAAATGGTCTTTGTCGATAGCAATAACAAAAGCATCTAATTCCCCTTTGTATATTGGGACAAGTTGCTCGATAAATGTACCCCCGTGGTGAAAGCGAGTTAAAATATAGTCATCCTCCATAATATTCCCTTACATAAGACGACAAGGGACCAGCACAAAGGAAAACCCCAAAAACCCCTAGCTTGAGAAATAACTTACAAATTACTTAGCCCTAGCTGTAGCAATAGAAAATAAGGAGAGATTGGACCTTGAAGCATTGTAAATACTGTAAGAAATCAGTGGAAATACTAGATTCCAACACCATTGACCAAAAGAAGAAGATTAACAGTGGTAGGACCTTTCTTCGTTTTCATCGAAGGTAAAAGGAACAATGGTAATATGTTTAGATGTTTGTTTAGGGCTAGTTATCTGTATTTTAGTGGAAATAACACTATATAGCTGAGGTGGACAGTGAGGTGGACAAATAAAATGATGTGGCACGATTTATAATGGTTACTTTTGCCACATAGACGGAGATTGCAGAACACGCGCTTTATTAATTAATAAGCCAGCAAAACGTGTCTAATTGGTATGAGAATTGCCTAAGAAACGTGTCTAATTGGAAAAAGGTCTAGTTTAAGTGTCTAAGTGAAAGATCGTGCCAACTTTAGGTGTCTCCGTATGTATTACGCCTTCAAACTTATATACATCAACTACAATAGAATTTCTTTTTGACCAATCATATTGCTCCATTTCCATTGCAATGACTAAATTACCCTTAATATCCCAAGCAAGCATGTTGACCTGCTGCTTGCTTATTCCCCCTTCTAATATGTACTAGTTGGCGGTAGCCCGGGCCCAAAGACCTTATTAATTTTCTATTTAACATAAAGAACTCTTGTTTACATACTGTGAAGCGAAGGTTTGATTCAAAATATTTGAAGACTAAGAATATAACTAATTAATAAAAATATTTGAAATCTAATAAAAAAAAATACAATGTGTTGTTCTTCTTGTGCTGCAATTCTACCAGTTATATTAGGTCCTTAATAGTTTTCGTGTTCTTAGGAAGCAAAATGTTTTTTCCTTGCGGCCGAGACAGTAAGCTGATCTGAAAAATGCAGAAGTAAAAAAATGCATTAGCACATGTGCGTAAATGCGGAAGTTATTGTTGTAGCTCAGTGACTAGTTTTTAAATGTAAACTATTAGCTTCAAGCTTCAAGTTATTGTGGTAATACATTTTTGGAAGCTAATTTTTGAATGTGTTAAACCCAAAATCAGACCAATTATACCAAATAAAAAGAGACATGTAGAGAACATATTGGGCAGCAACAACATGAAGTAAATGATAAGAAAATGGCGATCAACAAAAGAATAAAACACGGATGATTCATCACTTTCTATCTAGCCAATTATCAGTTTATACAACAACAAACTTGAAATGAGCAGTTGGAACAACTTCGAGGCAACATAATAAATGGATAGGCAGCTCAAATCCACTGATATAAGTGCGTAAAATGATTCTTTATAAAAATGCCAAGTTGAAATACATAGTTTGAAAACTTTAAGCACATCATCTTCATTATAAAGAAAAATAAACAACAGATACACAAGGGTGTGACACATAATCACTGTGCAAAGCCTTAAAGCTTATGTTTTTTTTTTCAGAAATTGTATCTACTCATAGCAATGTGAAAAGAAGATAATGAATATCATATCTGAACAAATTGAAGCATATTCACGAGAGATTTCTATACGAAAAGAAACTGAAATGACAGAAATTCTTTGTTAATAATATAGGTAACAAATGGAGTGAAGAGCATAAGAGAAGAATAATAGATTTAACAAAGGTAGAAAGCATAATCAAGAAAAACAAAAATTGACAAATTAACATTCGATACCGTGATAACCTTGGGAAACCCCCAAAAAACAAGCACCAATGAGCGAAAAAAATCAACATTGAAGGGGAAGGTACAAATATTTTCCATAAAATCGAAAGCGCCAACGAAATTACTATCAAAACAACAAAGAGCTTATAATAATTTAGAACAAACTCATAAACAGTGATAACAAATTCATCACTCACTTGAAAGTTGAAACAAAGAAGAAATCAGAGGACGAAGCAGAACGAAGACATAAAAAAAAGGCAATCTATTGGACATTACCTTTACTCCTTCATAAGTTATCACAAGATGCGTTGAAACTCTTTGGGCTTTAGCTTCTGCCTGAAAATGTAACTTTGACAAACACACAAATATTATACAAATAAAAAATCAAGGTAACTAAATTGTAGGAAAAGTGATCTTTTGTCTTACCTGTTAATTTGCACTTCTATTATAGTCTAGCTAGTTGTTGTCTATGTATAGCCCGTCGCACAATGACGTAGTTTAAATAACATAAAACTTTAAAGTATTTACTGATGCTCAGTAATAAATACTTCAGCTAAGGAAAAATCTTATTTATCAACATTTTAGTGGTAGTGAATTGTGGTTAAACGCTGCCAAGAATTTTTATAACTGCACTAAAATTAAAATTATGTAAATGATACATGTGTAATTCTTTTATTAAATAGTAAGAGTAGACATCAATAGTATAAAAGAAAACACTATGTGATAAACGTAGTAAACTTTCGGAAACGTACATGCATCCTAATTATAAGATGTTGCTACACAACATCTGTAATTCTTTTGTTAAATAGTAAGAGTAGACATCAGTAGTATAAAAGAAAACACTATGTGATAAACGTAGTAAACTTTCGGAAACGTACATGCATCATAATTATAAGATGTTGCTGCACAACATCTGGAGGCCGCTTCAATATCCAAAAAATAATACCAATTGCCTTCACAAACATAGGCACACAGTACTAATAACTACAACAACAATAACAACATGTGCTAACAACTATTTACACAAAAAATATGAAACACTTTGTTAAGGCGGCCAACTATTTAAATCTTTTTAAAAGATCGGTACGATCTGTCAAAATGTGCTTGTACATTGCATACCATCTGAGCGGACATCACTGCCTCCACAAACTGTACGAATAAAATATTCATTTTAAGAAAATTAGTAGATGGTAAAATATGGTATTTGAATTTCTAACCTTGAGTGTGGCTTTGATAAAGTACTTTGTTCCCCTTTTTGTTTCTTAGTTCCTTTCACATCACTCACAAGTATTGGCTCATCTTCCATAGTTGCGAAATTCTAACATTTGCAGTTGAAATCAGATACATCTCAAAAAGTTCGATTAAGTTATCACATCATATAATGTCGTCACCATAGAGTATTACACAAATTTGTTCCTCCTACAATGTTATTAAGAACAATAATGCAGTAATTATTGGAAGAATACAAGTGAGAAGATATTATGTTACAATTATAGTTGTAACTTGATTTACGTTTTCATCCTGGACAATTATTGTCTGAAAACGAACTCGCTGATCTCTGCTGTCTCGTAGCCGAAATTTGTCTACAGTCCGGACTTTACAAGTCCATTCTATAGTTAGTGGTGTAATTTCACTGATACTAAGTCTTTGTTCCATTTTATTAATATAACCTACATATTGATATCTGTAAAATTGCAAGAACAAACCATCCCACATTACAAATATGAGGCAACAAATAAAGAAAACAAAAAAGAAGTACATATAAAATCATGAGAGAAATTCAATATTAATTACAAACTGTTGGAGAAAGACTATTATTCCATGAAGCACATTGCAAGCGTGAGTACAAAGAAAGCTTCCACTCTGATGGGGAATTCATTTCAGCATGGAAACTATTTCTACATTGTACTTGTAAAAATTTTGAAAGTTATTTCTGCTCTGCTCCAGTTCTGTATCGCTTACTCCTATAACATTTGAATATCATCTCCATTGTTTACTAATTTGTGATTATCAATGAAGTTGGCATACTATTTCCTCTATGTTCAACCAAATCAAGAAACTGACTTGGGAAAGTAGTATCCTTGAGTAAAATAATTTCTAAAACATTACTTTACACACACATAGTTGCTCCTTTGCGCCATACTGATAGAGGTATGTGTGAGAGTGCATAGAGGAATACAACCTAATTAATAGTTGTACAAAAATCACAAATATGTCCAATTAGTCTATACCTAATTAATGTTCAGCTATCAGGTCAGGATCCCCTTGGCAACAGTTGTTTGATTATGACTGGTATTTCTTCTGCGAAGACCAAAGATTCAAAGGAGAACAGGCTTGTGCAGAATAAATAAAAACTACTTAAATACCCACAAACCTAAACTTCTTGAAGAATCCAAGAAAATTAAGGAAAAGCTTGAATATGAAAGACTTGGCCTATCCAATCAGAAAACTAAAACCCTTATCTTACCGTCTTTGAAGGGAAAAAATATTGAACACAATGATAATTAAACACAAACAAATAGAGTTTTTGAGAAGCCTTAGATAAATCAAAGGACAATATAAATCAGAAATTTTTAAAAATAGATAAAGCAAAAAGGAAAGATATACAGTGAAAAAAGGGAATATCCCCAAAATAAGAGTTCATACCAGTGAATAAATAAAGGAGTTGCTGACTAATAAAATAAAAGAGCTTCAGAAGAAGCAACCACGGTTGGAGAATGAAACAGCGTTGGGTGTTTAGAAAATAGAAAAGATGAAGATTTTGTTAGTAGAAAAACAATAGTTGGAGAAGAAGCCCAGTAGGAAAAGTTTGTTGAATTTCAGGCTTAACAATGGGAAAAAGCCAAAGAAATTAGGTTTAAACTCCAATTTAACAGCTCAAAATTAGGTAAAACATATAGATTTGCTAAGTAAAAAATTAGGTAAAGCATATAAAAAGAAGAATACAGAGAAACACCCATAAATCGCAGCAATTTTAAACCTTTTTCCGAATAAATAACCAGTACAACAAAATATAAAACAAAGACAAAGAACAACAAACTAACCAACTCAGCTGTGGAAACAAAGTGGATGTACACATGGGAGAGCAGAGCAGATTAATCACTTTAAGATACAAAGAAATCTGAAAAAAGCAGAGAAAGAAGAAACCCCAATATTAAGCGGTGGCCATAGAGGTAAACGTCTAGGTGAAATGCTGTTAATATCAGCAGAAGATCTAAAATGGGCTTTGAAAATGCCCCCAGAAAATTTCATTATTACAAATTTCTCTGATGGCAATGAATGTAAAAATATATTAAAAAATAAGGGCAAAAATATAAAAGCTTAAGCTGGCATGTCGACGAAGACGTGTCTGTGTCAGCTGATGCACTCGCACTTCTAATATAGTAGAACTAGCGAGAGTGTGCCCGGGCATAGCCGGGCCCAACAACGAACTATCTAAAATTGTTATTAATACTATTATTTTTAGATGTCACTCACTCTTGCATTTGAATTCGTCATATTGGTTATGTAGATAGTGATAAATTTACGTCTTCGAAGGCTATTCATTATTACAAATTTCTCTGATGGCAATGAATGTAAAAATATATTAAAAAATAAGGGCAAAAATATAAAAGCTTAAGCTGGCATGTCGACGAAGACGTGTCTGTGTCAGCTGATGCACTCGCACTTCTAATATAGTAGAACTAGCGAGAGTGTGCCCGGGCATAGCCGGGCCCAACAACGAACTATCTAAAATTGTTATTAATACTATTATTTTTAGATGTCACTCACTCTTGCATTTGAATTCGTCGTATTGGTTATGTAGATAGTGATAAATTTACGTCTTCGAAGGCTATTTATTGCAGTTTGGACATCCTTCTTGGTAAATTAGAGCGTAAATCTCTACAATATTTGTGTATAACATAATTAATATGTACCAGGTTATAAACGATTCGACTATAGTGGGAGAAGTAATTTTTCTATCAAAGTTATCCGGTCAAGAAATTGAGTTGTGGAGTCTTACAATAGTCTTAGAATACATAATATTTTGCAATTGAGAGAGATATTATATAAGGCCGATTCAGCTAGCTTGTTGGATAGATTTAAAAGAAGTTACATCAAGTTCGAAGAATGAAACTTAGTATAACTGCAAGTGTAATAAATTGAGAAAATAAGATATTTCATATTTGTAAATCACAAATACTTTATTTTTTCTACCTGGTTTGCTAATGGGAGCACTACTTTAATGCAAGTGATTGAAGAAAACAATGCAAGCACTTAGGTAAATTTGTATTAAAGGTATCAATATTAAATAGAAAAGGATGTAATTAGAGAGATTCACGAATGTTGAATTTTTCTTGTAATTATATGAAACATACTATTTTCACTCTACCAAAGTAAATGCAAATAACCAAACAAAGCATAAACTAATCTTTTTTTATAACTAAACACTACAATGAAGCTTTTTTCTGACTATGTCACTTTTTGTGTACTTAAAGTGACACTCACATATTAGCAGATGTAATGGATATTTTTATCTCTACCGAAATCATTAGAATGAGTAGCAGAATTATTAACTAAAAGTCTATATAGAATGAGCACATTTGGGAAAGATTTTATATCGGGATGAGGAACCATAACTGGCGGTGAGTCATAGGTAATATCAATTCAAAAGTTACTTGCTTTACATCAAAGTGTACATTCACCAACAGTACGTAAGCCCATATACTCTAATTGTATAAACATGTGCTAACACGGATCCAATATTTGCAAGCTCTTTAGTTCAATTCTTTGTTAGCTTTATTTATATATTTTAATTAAGCCGGAGTTTGTTCTTCCCACATTGACCCC